AACAGGTCTAATCTGATCCAATAATCTGATTTAATCTGGTCTACAGTAAAACCAGGAACCTGGAGGAGACCATCAACAGGTCTAATCTGATCCAAATACAACCCCAACTCAGAAAAGGTTACAAATAAAAAAAGACAGCAGTGATTTCAAAATTGAATTTGACGTGTTGCAGACAGTAGGAACATAAGATATTTTATGTTTTGTCTGCTCAACTTCATTTGATTTCTAAATATACATTCATTTCTGCCAATCAGGCCATTTAGGGCGAGTAATGAGGTAGAATGATGAAAAAATGAAGTGATTTGAAATAGGTGATGTCAACAGGTGTCACCATAACTGCTGAAGAGATTTTGGAGCAGCATATGCTGCCTTCAACACGACATGTTTTCCAGAGACATTTATGCATATTTCAACAAGACAACACAAAACCACGTTCTGCACACATGACAAAGGCATGGCTGCGGAAGAGACCCCATACTGTTGCACACCTTAAGAAAAGCAGGAAACAGATCTCAGGGACAAAACATAAATCCAAACACATTCATAAACACAGGGAGACACAGGGAAGACCATAAACAAAGGACTCCACAATAAAACCAAAACAACAAAACCCAACATCGTCTTATAAAGGAGTCAAAGTCCAGAGTCATGACATTCATCACATGATGCTTCATCAACCTGTGTGTTGTAGGTTGGAGGTGGAGCTGCTCGGTCTTCTGTGTCAGACTGCAACACAAACCATGGTGAGTCTCTCACTGGGCTCTGCAGATTTAATCAGATTACAGTTACGAGATTAAGTATTACAGAGGTCAGATTAGTAATCAGATTACAGTAGTCAGATTACATAGTGAGATTAGAGGTGAGATTAGTAATCAGATTACAGTATTGCTTTTGTTCATATTGTGTTGTAACAGTTTAACCTGTAGGAGGCGCTGTCTAATTTATTATAGATGTAGTTTTAGGTTTAAGTTTGTTTATATGTAACATGTTTCCTCCAGATGTCAACAGGATCCAAT